AGAGTGTATAAACAGAAAGGGGAATGCCTGTTTATACGTGTTGGTAGTGATAGGACAAGAGGGAATACTCTTAGTTTACTAAGACAGAGGAGATGTAGGTTGGAAATTAGGAGAATGTTTTTCACTCAGAGGATGGTGAGGGACAGAAGGTTGCCCAGGGAGGTTGTGGATGCCCCATCCCTGGAAGCATTCAAGACCAGGCTTGCTGTGACTGTGGGCAGTCTGCTTTAGTGGTTGGAAACCCTGCCCAGAGCAGGGGGGATGAAACTAGATGATCCTTAAGGTCCTTTTCAACCCAGGCCATTCTATGATCCTATGGTTCTATGAAATATAATATCAAGAATCATGGAATCACAGAATCATAGAATGGTTTAGGTTGGAAGGGATCCTAAAGTTCATCTAGTTCCAAACCTACTGTTGTGGTCAGGAGCACCTCCCACTAAATCAGGTTGTTCAAAGCCCCATTCAACCTGGCCTTGAACACTTCCAGGGATGGAAGCTTCTCTGGGCAACCTGTTCCAGTCCCTCACAATCATCATGGTAAAGAATTTCTTCCTTATACATAGTCTAAATCTATCCTCTTTTAGTTTAAAGCCATTGTCCCTTGTCGTATCAGTACACTCCCTGACAAAGTGTCCTTCCCCAGCTTTCCCCCTTTAGGTACTGGAAGGCTGAAATAAGGTCTACCCAAAGCCTTCTCTTCTCCAGGTTGAACAAGCTCAACTTCCTCAGACCGTCTTAGTAGGAGACATGCTCCCATCCTCCGATAATTTTTGTGGCCCTCCTCTGGACTTGTTCTAATACATCCATGTCTTTCTTGTGCTGGGGACACCAGAGATGAATACATTGCTGCAGGTGGGGTCCCAAGAGAGCAAAGGAGAATCACCTCCCTCAGCCTGCTGGCCATGCTTCTTTGGATGCAGCCCAGGATACAGTTGGCTTTCTGGGCTGCAAGCACACATTGCTGGTTCATGTTGAGCTTCTCATCAACCAACACCCCAGAGCCTTCTCATCAGGGCTGCTCTTAATCCATTCTCCACCCACCCTGTATTTGTGCTTGGGATCGCCCCGGCCCAGGTGCAGGTCCTTGCACTTGGCCTTGTTGTACTTCATGCAGTTCACCCAGGCTCACCTCTCAAGCTTATCCGGGTCCCTCTGGATGGCATCCCTTCCCTCCAGCATGTTGACTGCACCACACAGCTCGGTGTCATTGGCAAACTTGCTGAGTGTGCACAAATACCTTAAGAAGAACAAGTACACTTTTATATTCATTGCTTCTGGGAACCACGTTCTTCGAACACTGACATCCCTCACCTTAGCAATTGCCTCATTAATTTCAACTAGGAGTTGGTATTACAGGTATTATTTGTCCTTGCAGATTTAACTGCTGAGTAAAGAATTACATATATATGGACTAATGATGTGTTGAGACCACTACTTACTGACAGCAAACATTACATCCTTTAGTAAGATGGGGTTCACAGGTCCCTGCATCTATAACCAAATCTCTATTATCTGTGCTCTGTAATCTGATCAATGGTCTGTTACCCCCATATTTTAGCCGTCAACACTGTGATTTTTAATTAAAGTTAGCCATTTGTGTGAAATGATTACTCTGTTCATTATCTTGACAATTTCATTATTGTATCAGGTAAAATAAAACATTTATAGCAAGGGAAAAATATATGAGGTATTGTAAGGTTCAAGGAGGTTCATCACGATAGTTGGCTAAGGCTGTTATCATTAACATCAATAGAACAGGTCACAGTTCCTGGTATGCCACATGTCAGTTATCTCCTTTTAAATGAATTATACATGTATTCATTAAAATTCCCCAAGTACTATGAGAATATGAACATTATAAGAATTGCTACCCTGCTTGTGCATTCACAGTCATGATTTGCATGTGCAGTGGAGGCTAGAAGGATTTAACTATGCAAGACTTTGCTTGCATGATAATGCTTTTAGGAGCTTTGTTGAGTGTTCCACATTCCATATGCATAAGTTTTTTGTGTGACTTTAACCTTACATCAGCTGAGAATTCTGGAATCCAGCTTTGCTTTTTATTTTTTGGAGGTGTTCTTCTATGTAATTCTACATGAATCTCTGGGAGAAAAGGAGTGCATGCCTTGAGAAGTAACCAAGAATTTACTCATGTTTGGATCTGGGAGCTTGTATGGGAGGATAAAAAAGAGGGAAGCACATCATAAACATGTAGATGACCATGTTGATTAAAAGTTACCTACATGCTAACTTGTCCGATGCAGGAAAGTAAGTTGTTATTACCACCCTTTAAATGAGAATGACTGCTGTTGTCCTTATGCTGATCTGTCAACAACACCTTAGTTTGCAAAGTCAGTCTCATAGGTATCGAGTATACGGAGACATTGATACATGACCTCTCTGTCACTTTAGAATGCCTTGAGGCTGTTTCTGCTGTGTGTGTTGCTCTGACACTCGATTTTAAGATATTTTGACTACTGACAAAAAACATGCATTGGAGTTCAGTTGTCATTTTTCCTTCAGATGAGAGGCAAGAGAAAGGACAGGAACTAGAGACAGAAGGGAAAGCATGTGAAGAGTTTGGGCTGGGTTTCTGAGCATCAGGGAAATGATGTTGTTTCTACTGAAGTGTTCACCTTTGTTGTTCTGGAGGACATAGTAATAATTATCTCAGCATTGTATGTTATTTTTCTTTGTAGTTATTAATAAGCTTGTAGAGACTATTTGTTTGTTTATCTTTCCCCACAAGGAGAAGTTTCAAAACATTTCAGTGAGAAAGTTTTGCAGCAATGATGTTAAGAAAAGGTACATCTGTATTCCAGCTCATAGTTTCCTCCAGCCTATTTACATTTCACAGATGTCCATCATCTTCACACTGAGTTTGCTCCTTCTCCAACTCTTGTGCTACAAAGTCCAGTTATAGCTTTTTGTTTTCAGGAATTCAAACACCTCAAATATCTGACTTTCTGAGTAAGTACTCAAGTTACATGCTAAATGCATAAAAGATAGAAACTTAATGGCATCCAGTGGGCTTCTAACAAAGTGTTATATTATCAGCATTAAACAACAGTTATTGGTTCAGAGCTTATTCTAGATTTTGCAGACATTTATATGTTTATACCCAGACTCTAAATCAAAACTGTTTACTTAGAAAACTGATGTTTGCATGTTCACACAGAGACATTTATCTGCTAGGAACCATTTCAAGGCTCTAGGGAATTAGGTGATTCTAGATTGTATACAGGGGAGCTCTTCCCATTTGCCATACAGTTTGTTGATGTTCCAACAGGCTTCCCAAATAGCAGGATTCCAGGATGAAGTGACTGAAGTGACAAGTTCCCAAGTAAATTATGAATTGACTAGAGTTTAGGAACTACAAGAACTTCAATAACCTTTTTATTTTTTATTATTATTATTTTAATACTATTCTCCATGTTTTTGAGTTCTCCATAATAGCCTTTTTCACATCTCCATTTCAAAATCATCTGTCTAAACTCCTGAAAACTGTGATGCTGGTCCTATGTGATTCAGATTCTGATTGTAATGATCTCACTGTTGTCATGCGTTGTATGCACTACCCATGGGTCCTTGCTTAAATTTTAATTTGCTTTCATACCTACAGTTTTTGACCGGCATTTGAGATTCCCTGTACTTGTGCCAGTGTGCCTGTGATTGCCATTTAACTCGAATAAGTCTGCCTCTCCTTTGTTGGAGTGGTATTGTTTAGATACCCTGTAGCATCACAAATATTAGTAAGTGTTTATGCTTATGATATTGAATTAAATCCTCTTTGTCTATAAGTCAAAGCCTATGGCAGATTCAAGCTGTTCTGGAGTAGATGGACCTAAGTGTGATAGTGTCAGTCACAACAGATGGCTCTAGAAACCTATGTTTTGACTACTGCACAGAGTTTTAAGTTTCTTAAATTCAGACTAATGTCACCTCCTGTTTCTGCCTTTAGGTTTCCACCCATTTCTACATTAATAGAGGATAGATTTAGGGTATTAAAGCACAGCTGATGACTTCAACTCTCATTTCTTGCCTCTGACCATAATCATTTTTTGCCTTCCCTGGCTATTTGTTCTTCTGACAGTATCTCAATTCCTACTTTATTCCAAGTTGGAAGAACTGTTTGTATACTATGGAAAAGTGGTAGAAAACCTAATTTATTTTTTTTTTGGTCCTTTTTTTTAAAAAAAAAATCTGGGTAAATTAGTTTGTTTTTTTTCTTTTTTTTTTACTGTGTTTACTAGGTAAATTTGACATGACAGCATTTTCAGTATTGCTTTTTCATAAAAAATAACAACAGTTTAACACTGTATAAGAATATATAAGCAAGAAAACCATAGAAAATTACAAAGCACAATGTCATCAGACAACTTCCACATAGGTTATTCTCTGTGTTTTTTTTTGCAGAGGTAACAAGATGTATACAATGCATAAGGTATAAAATGCACAATCCAATGCTACCCTGGTACTGCACTGAAAACATGTAGATATACAGATACATGATGTAACAATAAAAATAAATAATAAAAACAAATACAAACACATAAAACATAAAATAAAGAAATAATAAACAAGAAAAAAAGCCTTCCTGCCACCAGAAAATGCTTTTGTCAACAGGAGGAAGCTTTTATCAAATGTAGCAGCAACACTAGGAATGTTATTTGGTTTTAGAAAATCTTGCAAAATAAGGTTTTTACATCATGAAAACGAGTAGGTTTTCATGAAGAACACTTGTCAATATTATGTCAATAAAAATATAAACAATTCATGATGGAAAATTATTTGCCAGAGGAGAATTAGAATATGATGCTCTCTACTCCATGTCTGTGGAATAGAGACTCATCATTTGTAATGATCAGAGGGAAAGTATTATAATAGCTTAACAACATTACAGAAATGTAAATGGAAAGCAAAGCAAAACAAAATAAAACAAAGCACCACAGACAGCAAAGAAAAACAAACCGAAATAAAAACAACTGTGGACTTACTCTCAGAAGCTTCTAAATATCATTTACTTCTTAGAATCACTGAAAAAAAAAAGCAAAGAAATAACAGAAAGCTGGTTAGTAGGAAATTATTTATCAGTTAGTTAACGTTCTTATTTTTCTATAACTAAAACATTCTATAACTAGCTGTATATAAATAACTATATTCATTTCAATGTCTAAAACATTCAGAAGAAAAACACAAACATAAACAAATATATATTAAAACCTGATAAGCCCCCTGCTTCTATTCTTAAAACTCCTCAGTGTTAAGTAGCTCTCAGAAGAAGAAGAAAAACAAACAAACAACAACAACAAAAAAAACACTAATAAGAAACATTATGGTCTTTGCAGGAGAAGAGGTGATGAGATGAAAAAAAAAAATACAAGAAAAAAAAAAAAGGAAAAAAAAACACATGGAGCCTAATCCCTACTGTCCTTTTCTCTTGTCTAGATTGCTGTTACTTTCTAAGGACACTCACAGAATACTGAAATCACTTTGAATTGCATCTATAGGAACCAAGAAAAATTAAATTTCTTGAGTCTCTCTGAACACTGAAGCTACATTCTTCCTCTCAAAAGAAACTGTTAAAGAGGGAAATGTAGATGGGGAAGAATCAATATCAGAATGCTACCCAACAACAATGCAGCTGAAGACTCTCACATAGTTCAATGCATGGCTGTGATTTGTGGCTGCTGTATTTTCTCATTTTTCCACAAAGGCTGTATAAGGTGAGCCATTATTCTGTTCCTCATGACTGCCCTACTGCATAGCCACAGGCTGGAAGAATTTAGGAAGTTTCACCATTATGGATTATCTCAAGTTCTTTCAACAAGACAGAAACTAGTAGGTCTTTGGAGGATTGTTACTGAGTATATCAAAACATTGAAGGATAGAAACTACCAGGTTAGTGAAACAGACCATGAAGCTGTTATAAAATATAGAAGAGAATTCAGCTTTCAGGTTTACTGAATGCATTCTCCACATATTCCTGATCCCACCATTAAAGAAATCAACCAACCAACCAAGAAACTATCCCCTCCCCCCCCTTACCGCCAAAACAACAACAACAACAACACTGAAACTGCTGTAGAGTAGAACTGTTGTATTTAATTTCTAAATTTATCTGGACACTTTGTAATGTTAAATAGGCTCCATCCTAAAGCTATCTAATCTAAACTATTAAGCTGGTATTTTTTTACACTCCTTAATGAGGCAAAGAGTGAATTAAAATGAAGTCTATGCAGTACTTACTCACTGACCTTCGTTCCTTATCAACCTTTTTTCAGCCTTGAGAAAATTTTGTGCATCTGGTCATTTATGTTCCATTTTTTAGAACATTTAACTTGCAAGGTAAAACATGGAATTAATATACTTCTTTTGTATCTTAGTGTGATAAGACATTAACAGTAAAAGGCTATTTTTTCATGTTAATTGAGTTTTGTGTTGTTGATGACTCATCTTTGAATAAATATATATATTAATATATATATAATTGCACGTAGGCTGGAGGTCTTGTTGAATTATACAAACATGGATATACAACACAGATCAAATAAACATTTCCTCAGGAAGAACAGGCCTCAAAAGCAGAAGATTTTTATTTCGTTCTGTTGATTTTTAAGACAACACAGAAATAATGAACAAATGAGGAGAAGCCACATTGTAGCCATTAAGAGTTATCTATTGATAATGTTGTCTGCTATAGAAATGTTGGTGTATTTGATGGGAAAAAAATCAATGGAAATATTTTGAGATGTAATTGTGACATGGATCTCCTATTCACCTTAATGAATTAGGTAGAAGTTTTGTGGGCTGCACTTTTAAGTTTCAGATAGTTTCTTTAATGGAAACTTTAAGCACACTTATAGCTTCTAAACTACACTTTATTTTTATTTTTAATTTTTATTTATTTATTTATTTATTTATTTTGGATGAGGTTTCTGGCTACTTGACTCAGATGGAATGTTTGTGTACATGTCTACTGGAAAATGTGTAGAATTCTAGAAGAAAGTGACTATATGGCATATATGGCAGCTAAAGTGAGGTTTTAGAAATTGTCTATTATATTTATTAAATGGAAAGACAAAATTTCATGGCAACTAAAGTTATTCCAAATAACTAAAGTGTATTCCAAATATACATTTGGAATAACAATGGGTCTTACAGTTTTGAATGTACTTGTACAGTAATAGAACAGAATTCAATTAAAATAATTGAGTTGAACTATTGTGAAAGAACTCAGTTTCTTGGGATTAAAAGTGTAGATAAGAAATCTAGGTAATGATAAATTCAAATTATCTATATTATATACATGTATGTTATATATATACAAATACACCTGAATAAATATTAACTTACAAATGTTTAATAAACTACCTAGTATGTATGGAGATCATACTGCCATTAGAATTGTTTGCTTTCACTAGCAGGTTGGAGTTAGTTTGTAATGTTTAGAAACACTGACTTTTAATCTGAGAGGAAAACATGCAATGTCAAGTTTCATGTTGGAGTTATATAAAATAGTTAGCCCAATAGAAGAAAAGCAAGGAGAAATCTGCTAACATAGTCACAACTCTTATAAATAACACCTCACATATTTCAGAATTGTAAATGGTCAAAGCATGTCCTCAAGTTTTAGTTAAAAACAGGCACTTCTCTCATCTCTATATAAAGCAGGATCATGCTGGGACAAAGCACTTCTAAAACAGTGGATTATTCTGATTCTGATTAGACTAATTTCAATTTTTTTCATTCCAAGTATCAGATATAACCCTACTGAGTTTATAAGAGTGACATGATTTTAACCTTAATAACACTTCTACAGATATAAATCAGATAATTATCACATTTGATAAAGACTTCTATTTTGCATAGAAATCGTTCAAATGAGTAAGCAAGGAGCATGACCTCTTAAGACAGTATTGAAAACAAGTTATTTTTTCTTATCTTGTATGAATAAATCAGAAACAGGCACACCTGTGTGGCCCTGTATACAGGGAGACAAATGCCCTTGTGAAAAGGCATAGGTGCTCACAAATGGGATCCACATCAGCAGTTCTCTGGAGTTAGTGAAGGCAAAGGGAAGCTGAAGAAGCTCAGTCTAAGGATTTGGCAGTGTTTGCCTTTGTGAAAATGGGATTTAAATTTGTTATCAAAATGATACTGCTTTTTTTTTTTTTTTTTTTTTTTTTTTTTTCCCTGTGTTTATGACAGACTGACAGACCACTTAGAGTGGCATTAATCTCCTACCATTTTAGCTATGGAAAAGACAGATGTTCGGGCTAGGTGCTCTTTTTGGCTGTGACTCTCACAAAGTGGGGGACAATTTTCCTATGAATTTATTTCTGTCCATTAAGGAACTCCATTAGGTTAAATATCTTGCCAGTGAAAATTCAGAAAGGTGAGTATTTTTTTCTTATTGTAAAGAAACAGTCTCCATTTTAGATTTTCTAACCTTTGTGACATAGTCATTACTTCATAAACTATGACATTTCCTGCAGTATTGTCTCTGAGGTTTTAATCCTGAACCCGTTACAGTCTGTGACAGAGCATTCTATACATTTTCTTTGTAAATGAGGCCTCACTGTCCCTGCCAGTCTCCACTTCCAGGGAGGTGCCCAGGGCTGTGAGGATGAAAACTTTCATCAACCACATATACATTTTGTATAGATATCTCAGCGCTCTTTTTAAAACTTGCATCCAGAAAAGGAAGCTTTAGGAACATAGACATCTTTCTTTAAAAAGTAAATGTACCAACTTCCTCTTAATCGTAGAAAAATATGTTGTTCTGGAAGAAATAGCAACAAAAACTAACACAGTGGGGAAAAAAATAATTTAAAAAGAATTTTGTAGCTGGTTAACAAACCAGAAAGAAAAGAGAAAAATAATGAATATAGAAATTAGTGAGAAAAGCATTTCTAATTTAAATGAGAGAATAAAACATAGATTTTATATTTCTTCCAGGACTGCATTTTCATAACTACTTTAAAATAGTCTTTAACAGTGGAAAAATAATTTAATGAAGATGATTAAAATGTCCAGGGGAATAATATACTTTGCTGTGCAATAAATATCTTATTTTTGAAAGAATTTCTGAATAATTTTATGAATTAGTTAGTTTATATTTCTCTGAGATTTTAAAAAGAGAAGAAAAAGAAAGCCACAGATGGTACATTGTGAGTAATATCTGGAATGAAATATTGTTTGATGGAGAAACATTATGGGTTAATTTGTTTCCAGTAATCCTTTATTCTAAATGAAAATAAGGCTGAAGAATATTGTTGGAATTTCACTTTGATGGAAACTTTCTATGTTCACAGCAGTCTAGAATATACACTACTTTTCTACAAAATGTTAAGTTCTTATTTTTAACTTATATATTGAACTTATGAACTCAGAACTATATTCAGTGTTGGAAATTTAGAGAATTATTTTAATTTTATAGGAATCATATAAGTTCACATCCTTAGAATTAAACATCCAGCTTTACTATAGGTTAAACTTTCTGAAAACAGAAACGATCAATGCATTTGTCAAGTGTTTGACTGTTAATGCAAGTACATTACTCCCACTACACTACAGGCAAAACCAGTGACCCCTAGAGGGTCACAAATGGAAAGTGTCGTGGTTTTACCCGGCCGGCAGCTAAACACCACGCAGCCATTCGCTCACCCTCCCCCCTCCCTCTCTGGGACGGGGGAGAGAAATGGAAAGTGAAGCCCGTAAGTTGAGATAAAGACAGTTTAATAAGACAGGAAAATAATAATAACAAAATAATAATAACAATAATAATAATAATACAATGGTGATAATAGGAAAGTAATAATAGTATGTACAAACAAGTGATGCACAATGCAATTGCTCACCACTCGCTGACCAATGCCCAGCTTAACCCCGAGCAGTCCGGCCCCCTCCCCCCGGCTAGCCACCCCTATATATTGTTTAGCATGACGTCAGATAGTATGGAATACCCCTTTGGCTAGTTTGGGTCACCTGTCCTGGGTCTGTCCCCTCCCAGCTCTTACTGCACCCCCAGCCTGCCTGTTGGCAGGACAGAGCAAAAGGCTGAGATGTCCTTGGCTTAGTATAAGCACTGCTCTGCAACAATTAAAACATCGGGGTGTTATCAGCACTCTTCTCATCCTAAGCCAAAACACAGCATTCCACCAGCTACTAGGAAGAAAATTAATTCTGTTCTAACTGAAACCAGGACAGAAAGTTAGATGCAGTTTTCACATTTGATAATAACTTGTACATACCTCAAAATGCCTTCTGAAGGCACGATTTTCTAATTATCTTTGATGAGCTGAATGTCTGCAAAAGATGAATTTTTGTAATACCTGGAATCTACAGAAGTGGTTTACTGTACTTTCCTGGATGCCATGAAACAAAATCTGTTTGACAGAGGGCCAACACTGATGGTATGACCTCCAACCAGCAACCAGTGAATGAACTACCTTCTAGGTTTGACAGCCAAAACAAACTGTGGAATAAAGTGAAACAACTCAAAGCTGTAAGACACCCACTGGTCTAGTGAAAAATTTATTTAAGAGCAAGAGAGTATTTTTTTCCTTATTCTTAAATATTCAATCATTTTTTCTTCCAAGTAGCAATTAACATAACAACATTCTTTTTCTCTGAGCAATGCTCAAGAGCAATCCTTCTCTTTGAACAATGTTCAAGCTACTAATGCTATACTGTATGTATCACATGATACATACAGAAATAGAGATGGCTAATGAGCAGGGAGAAACAAGGGAATACATCATGAAACAGGAGCGGCATAAAGATGTAAAACTAGTGAACAGAGGAGATTAAAGAAGTAAAGGGGAGAAAAGAATACACCATGGGAATGTGGTGGGTTGACCTTGGCTAGCTGCCAGCTGCCTACCACAGTGCTCTCTCAGTCTTCCTCCTCAACAGGCCAGGGATAGAAAATGATGATGATGATGATGATGATTTAATAATAATAATAATAATAATAATAATAATAATAATAATAATAATAATAATAATAATAATAATAATAATAATAATAATAACTGCCTGTTCAAATGAGGACAGGGGTTTGCACACCAATTACTGTTGTGGGAAAAACAGACATCTTGGGGAATATTAATTTCATGTATTGTCAATAACAGCATATAGCATTGAGAACTAAAAGCAAGCTAAAACACCACTCTCATCCACCTTCTTCTACCTCCACTCCTGAGCATCACAGAGGAACAGAGAATGAAGTTTGTGGTTAATCCATAATGCTTCATTTCTGTCACTGTCATCTTCACTCTCAGTGCTCCTGTTTGGTGTTCCTCCCATAAGCTACAGTCCTTCACGAACTGATACAATATGGGTCCTTCTCACAGGCTGCAGGTCTTCAAGAACTGTTCTAGCATAGCTCTGTATAACTGGGTGCAGGCTGTCAAGAGGTTGTCAAGTGTGTCGTCGAAGTCAACTTTGCTCTTGGAGGACCTTCTCCCCCTCCTTCTTCATTGTCTGCAGGGCTCTTTCTCTCACATTTTCTCACTCCTTTCCCACTTGCTGTGCAGTGTTTTTTATCCTTTCTGAAATATGTTATCACAGAAGTGCAATCAACATCACTCACTGGCTCAAGTTTCGTCAGCGGTAGGTCTCTTTTGGAGACATCTGGAACTGGCTCTAACATGGTGCAGCTTCTGGTCTCTTCTCACAGAGGCCACCCTGCAGCCAAAACTTTGCCATGTAAAACCAATGCAGGGAGAAAAATAAATAAATAAATAAATAAATAAATAAATAAATAAAGTGTAGAGCAAAGCATTGATGTAAACCTGAAAGGAAAGGAATGAAAGAAGAAAGAGTAATTTTTTGAAATAAAGTAAAGCATCTTTTTAGAAAAACAACAACAACAAAAAAAAAAGCCACAAATGTGCAATTTTTATTGTGCAATTAAAATTCAAGTAATTAGCACTTAAATTCTATAAAATTTTTCAGTTTAACTAAAATATGCCAAATGTTTTAGCACTGTTCTTAAAAAAAATAAATAAAAATTGTGTCTAATGAGTTGGGGGGATGTTGTTTGATCTCGATATAGCCCCTTTACCACCTAGACAGTGAAGAATCACTGTGTTTACTGGGACTCTGGAAATGTATCTAAAGTCAGCAAATTCAGGTCAAAAAGGAATATAATTCTGTTAAAATTACAAAGAGTTTTAAGTGTACAATTGGTGGAAAACTTATTTGGGATGTGTGATATCAAACTCCTTTTGCTTTATTTCATAATATTTTATCTAAATCATATATAGTGCACAAATGCAAGACACTGTGTTCAAAGAGTTTGGTATATATTGCCCTCCTTGCCAAGGTGACATCTGCCATAAAATCTAGTAAGTGAACTTTTTCTAGAGCACATATGTTGTGTACATATGGATATCAGTAACCTGTGATTTGACATTAAAAATATTTTTGAGGACTTTACCTTACATTACCCTATATTTTTAACCTTTGAAGCTAAACCTAGCTGCAGCATTAAACGTCTTATTAAGTTTTAAAAAATAAAATAAGTGAAATACCTTCTTACATGTTCCCAAATCCCAATTTAATTTTGTTAATCTTGTATGGCATTATGAAATTGCACTTTTTCATCATGTTTACACCTGCCATCCCTAATGCATTACCAGGTGTGAGATTTATGAGTGGAACACATGAGACCTGCCATAGTTAATCACATTTGTAACCTTTCAGATACACTGCAGATTTTTTCTTGCTGTGAAACATGCTTTACCTTTAAATCTCTGCTGAGCTTAGATTTAAAACAATACTGTTATTTTTTGTTCTTACACATTTCAAGTACAGTCATCAAATAATATCCTAATTATCATTCTTCTTTGACATTATCCTGTCAAAGAACTGTTTGGATTTCAAGATAATACTGAAGTACTCAGGGAAACTGAAGCATATATTGGCTTTTTGTTTATTTTTTTATTTTTTTTTCTGGATTGAAAAGTACATGAAAATAGAAGTGGATGAGGTGGTACTCTTGCCATCATTGCATCATAATACTTACAGATAATTTATAATATTTCTAGAATAAGAAAGAATTAGTTCAGAAGTTTAGGCTTAGTAATTTGCAGCTTTGACTGAAAGCTCAAAAGATCCCTTGAAAACATTCTATAAATGACAGAGTAATATTAACTCTGTGGGACTATACATACATTTAAAGCTATTCATGTGCTTGTATGCATCTTTGAATCTAGCCAGAAAGGATGTATGGTCTTTCTAAGTTCATATTAAATGGTTATTGCTTTGAGAACTATGTTAAAGAGAACTATGTTTTTTTTTGTTGTTGTTGTTTTTTTTTTTTTAAAGAGAACTATGTTTTTATTTATTTATTTATTTATTTTTACTATATATACATAAAAATACATGGATATACGTATTTGTTAATAAATGATTTTATTTTATTGCACATTCAGAAATGTTGGTTTAAATTCTATTATTAATCATTCTTAGGCAAATTTGTAATGTTTTTAATATTTTAAATTAAGCTTCTATTTATTTATTTCCTTGTACAGGAAGAATTTACAGAATCACAGGTTTATTTTTTAACAGTCAGACAGTTGCTTAAATTGGTTTTAGCATTAGTTTAGCTTTGTGCCATTGTGTAGTGCAATATCTCATGCTAGTTTATAGGTTGTAGTAAGAAATATTCTGTTGAGACTTTTTATTACATTAGATTGAAAAATATGGTGTAGAATAAAAGATGAACAAGTTACTACTGGTGGCCCCAGACGGTAAGCACAAATTGTGATGGCCAATTGCTTTTAGGCAGAGTTTGTAAGTCAGGTGAAACATGCTAGTGATAAGAAGCAGAACAGAAAGAAAAACAAGTATAATGCAGAACTGAGAATGAATGAACAAGGAACAAGGAAACAGACCATTAGAAAATGAATAAGAATACCTCAAAATGGATTCATAACAGAAGAAGGTCTCCCATGAACATCATGTTATCCCTGATGAAGGCCCCCAACCTCTAAGAGATCTCACCTGGAGTGACCCTGGGACACAGCTGATCACTGGGAGTGGGAGCACAACACCACTGACAAACTGAGATTACAAAGTTTGTGAACAACGTTAACATAATTTAATATAAATAAAATACTTTATAATTATTTTCCTCTCTATATAATTTTTCTTCTGGGTTGTCTTCTATAATAATTAATACAGTAGTCTAATTAATTTGGACTATAATTATTGATATAATTGTAACTTAAGTAATAATAACTTATATGTTATTATTTCAGATTGAGCAACATGAATCAGACTAAAAGTAAACTCTTAGATCAACAGATACAACCTATTCACTTTGTTTCATAGCAAAATGTTTTGAGTGTAATGCTTCAGTGTCTTTAAGATATAGAGTAATTCATTCTAATGTAACACAAATGACAGAGGGTATACTTAGACTTAATTTACACTGTAAAGAGTTTTAATTTAAAGTACTTTAAAAGTTTTTTAATATGTTAAAAATCTTTTTACTTAAAATACTTTAAAAGTTTTATACTTGTAAAGAGTTTGTGCATGATTGAATATGGATTAATCAAATTGCACATCTATACCATTTTTTGTTAAAATTACTCATATAAGTTTTAGAAAAATAGAATTATAATAGCTGATAAACCATCTAAAGAAATTTTTTAAGATCATTCATAAATTTAACAACATAACAGCTAATAGGTTGGCAAAGGTTTGAATTGCTTAGCTTGCAAGCAATTATAAGGGAAAATATTTCTTCAGTGACTCTCTGTGGGTTGATATACCATAGTCTTAGCACCAAATGATGTCATAGTATATTTACAATGGTATATATATAGTAAAATACTATAAAGTATTTAAATAGGAATAATGTAGGTAAGACAAAGGAATAGTGTTTAT